AGTAGGGTAGCGCACTTATTATGTACGTAATTCTTGTAAGATTGTTACGTTAACGAAGTACAACGCAATTTCCGTATTCAATCTCCGTGCTGTACTTTATGCTTGGAATTAACTTTGAATATCGCTTCAATCTTCTTTGTCGATCTTATCAGCTTTGTCGTAGTGAGTCATGTTGCAGCATATTTTTTCTTGGTTACCAATACGTCATTAAACCGTAAACAATGCCAAAGAAAAGTCGTTTATTCTCATCAACACTTTCAGATTCCACCTACTTTAATCGTCACTTTGTTGTACAAATATTAAAATTTCATACGATAGTTCCTTCAACGCTGGGACGATCTGAGATAAAAAAAGAGAAAAAACGATGTATGAATTGTCTTGATAAAAGTATCCAACTCTTTTCGTCAGGTCAAGTCGTTCTTTTTACGAGCAGCTTTTCCGTTCCGTAATCGTGTACTTTTGTCAACTTTCGATCGATACTCAGAGAAATACGAGAACGGCGAGACGAGATGTCCGCAGGCATCAGCAATCCTCGGCAATCCTAGAGAAGACTTTCTGATGGCACGTTCCGACGATATTGTCATGACCTAATCAGCAATGAGTATGCAATCGACTTCTTATGGACGACAGAGAAAGAATTGTGGCGACAGCTATTCGTGACTGAAATATCCCCTCTTCTATCTCATTCTCTTGATAAATGATACTCGACAGCGTAATCAATTTTTTCAAATGACGCAATTCTTCCCGATGAAAATCATCTTGCTTGCCCCGCGGTGCAGTAAATAATACAGATATACTTGCAGTACATGTATAACAAATCAAATTACAAACCTTATAATAGGCAAATTGTGATACATATTAATGGGCAGTTGATTAAAATTTCACTGTATATTAAATATTTAAATTGTATTTGCCATTAGAGCTCAGAAAAATTTCTGGCATATATTATGTAATATTCAATTAAACGTTTAAATACATATATCATGAAATTTAATAAATTAAGTTATACACATAATAATTGTGTAATAAATGTTAAAATTATACTAAACAGGTCGCGATTAATTAAAGAATACACGTTTTCTACATTTATTGGATACGAGCTATAATATCATTGAATGCGAACGATGAAAATTGATATCAACTGCAGCTTTTATTTTACTTTCTACCTCTCTGTCTTATAAGCATTTGACGCTTTGATGTTCTACTTAGCATTTTGTTTCCTTGACATCCTCAACTGCTTCATCTCGTACAACAAAATAGTTCTTCCGCAGGAATTTGTCAACACTTGCGACCTATTATGCGAGTCACGTTTTCTGTAACGCGTGACTGCAGTACCAATTTTTTTTTGGTCTACATAAGTTTTTTTTTCCGTACACCGATTGTAATCATACCATGATCAAAATTATTTTAAGGCTGTCTCTTAGCTTGGTGAGTCTTCTGTAATGGATTTCTATAATAGCGTCAGGTCGTTGAAGAGAAATTCGAGCATCACGAACGAGGTTGCTTTTCATAGCAACACTGGAGATAATCAGTTATTTCTGGTTCCGTCGCAGATCGATCATAAAGCGAATGGAAATTTCTACTATGTTTAATTTTAAAAACTTGAAATTAAAATAGATTTTCCGCAGAACTTGACATAAAAAATTGTTGATTTCTCGTCTCTCTTTAAATCAAATTCTTACGATTTTGTAGGCGTCTTTTTTCTCTCCAAAGCGATAATAGCTGGAATATTCTAAAAATATAGTCGAATAATTAATAAAAAGAAGTTGAAAGATGCAATATTATAATTATGCAACTTTCTTAATTAGAAACAGGGGGGGGGTAGGGGGGGGGGGGGGAATATTAAAATCTATGCAAGTATATTATATATAATTGTATAGTGATGAAAGAAATGCTTGTATAATAAAACTGTGCGAATTTTCTGATAAAAACAATGACGTTTAAATTATTTTTTGAAAGTTGCAATCCCGAGGGAAAAGAAAGTTTGAAGCAATTTGATTTAATATTTATTCTAATGTATGTAGATTGAATGCGGTGTACAAATATTTATTCTAATGTAAATTGAATGCGGTGTACATTATTTTATAAATTTTTCTTTCAAGGTTCTTGTAAAATCGAGACTTATGGGATTTTCTGAAGATTCATAGAATTAGCGTACGAATAGCTCTTGTTAGTTCCTACACAATAGCTGATATGCTTTCAGTGATTTTCTGTGTACGTCAACGTGATGCTATAAATCAAATTTGCGATGGCACATTAAGGTATGAAAGTATCTATCTTGGTGGTAAAATAGATTTCAGAAAAGAATCAGCCAGGAAGCGATTAATCGTCCAGCTCGTTTGTAATCGCTAAGAAATCGATTTGACGTGCTATATTTTTTACCCTTCGCCGCTCGGCTCTTTAATGTTCCGCTTAACGCAAATAAATTCAATCTACCGTGAGAAGCGATATATCGATTCGCTTTGATTGAAAGACTATCTTCGTACAAATATATAATATTTGCGGAGATGCGCGAAATTATAATTAATACAACGTCGGCATTTAAAGTTTCGTAACATTTGACATATTGCGAGTACATTAAGCTTTGCAAAAAGAAAATGGAGACAAATAATTCTATTCGAGATCTTGATTTTAATCGATTACAATTTTTTTATGATTCATTAAACTGCGCACAGACATTCAGGCAATCCTGCCATCGTATAATCATTTATTTTTTAATATTAAATTTGTGGTTAATTAAAAATCAATTTTAATCTTTGAATCAGCTAAAATTTTCTATTTATTAATTTTTTTGAAACGTTTTGTTTGTTTATCGATATTATCACGATTACACACACTTGAAGATATATAGACGAGTGTCTATATACATTTTAAACATATGACATTTCCTTCCTTCCTTTTCCCATTCTCACAACGACGTTTCTTATTCTGGACCCGAGGATTGTGCTGATATTTTGTTTCTGTCATACACCGATTGTACGAATCGATTTATCGACGAAGAAGTCAATATCCCGCTTACGAGCAGGAACACGCATTGCAATCATTTCATCGAGAATCGTTCGGCTGCTGGGACCGTGCAAGCCATTCCGTGTATAATGCAACGATGTTACAAATTTATTTAGCGATTGCCATCGCAATGGTACGCGGTCGGAATCGCGTATCGACTAAACAGTCGTCACGACGAAAAATAGTATTCGAGAAAATTAAGTGACACTTTAGTCGGAAAAATGCGCGTGAATATTCACTGTAAAAACGGGACCCAAAGTAAGCATACATTATAAATGAAATAACAACTATCTCGAATCGGAAAATAAATCTGCAGTTGATTCGATACCTGTAACACGCCAATTTTATTCTATTTGCTACCTCTGCTGTATTCATACTACTCCGAATGATCTATAAATATTTCATTTTTTAGATGACCAGAAATATTAATGTTGAATTGAATTGAATTTTCCCGAACGCACAAACATGTCGAAATTCAGTAATCCGATACGCGTTAACAAGGATTGCAATGTAAACGAGAATTTTATTTATTATCATTAAAAAACGGATTGTTTTGGGTAATTTAGCATCCAGTAGTTCCGCTTAAAAATAAACTGAATCTACTTTAGTCGTCAAGCACAACAGTTGTTTATTCAAAAAAGAAAAATGTTACGTATAATAAATCTTTTCATAAAACAAAAGCTTGATTTTTATATGAATTATGCAAAATTTTTATATTCTGCAACTTTAGTACAATTTCTGCGAGAAATTCTTGTGAGAGAAATGTATTTATAACATTTCTTCCTCCAAAATCAAATAACGGCATTTTCTTCGATCCACACGAATGCACGTAGAAGATTTATAGATATTTGTAACCTTATAAATACAACCGACCCTCGTTAATCACACCTCTCGTAAACAGAAATAATTGGAATAGTTTAAGAAGAAGGTAGCACGTAAAAGCGAGTTTAATTGAATTCTCGAAATACTCGAATCATCGTTGAGCCACAAAATACTCATTTTTCATCATTTATGCGGCGTCAATCCGTTTGCAACGTTCATCAATAAGTTTCTACATATATTTTATGAAACCCTTTACATGCATGCTCTTAACGATTAATAAAATATATTTTATAACACACATATAAGAGGATAACTCTTATATGCGCGATAAAAAAGAAGTCTTGTTTTTGTTGAGAAGAAAGTTTCGTTACGTTTAATGATCGGAACATGACCAAAGGATAAAATTGTGCCATCAATTCTTATCCAAGACTTTCTTATAGCTTGAGACGTCGTGGTTACATATTATAGCAAGCGCCTCGTTCCGAAAAATTGAGCAATCTCGTTGTTTCTCACTCGTTCGCAGTGGCAAGAAAGACTGCCGAGAGATTTACGCTGCATTAAACAGTACACTTTATGTCTTCCTGCGTGTACCCTTTATCGACTTCGTTTCAATTTTTGCTCGTTTCAAATTCGAGAAAAAGGAAATCCATAAATTGCTTTTGAGTATAAATAATTGTTGCAACGGAGAAAATAGAAATTTGACCTAATTTTACACTTTTTCATAAGTTTTAAATAAAAGTATGTAACAGAATTCAGTTTCTCTCTTACATAATTATATATAAAGAACATAAAGTGAAATTTTTAATTTTACATGAAATATTTTCAAAAATCTATTTTTTTTCTTTTAAAGAGAAAATGGCTTATAATTGCGTCAACCTTCATCCCTGCAATTCGTTATAGGAATACACGTTAAATGCCGACATATTCTCGGTACTAATACCTGTAAACGAGAACGAATTAACGGCGGCAAATCGCACAGTGTCATCCACGCGGTAATAAGCTTTGAAATGAAACTTATCGCAGACCCAGCGCTATTTCCGCCACCAGCTCTTACGTTAATAACCGAGAATCGGTTTTGGAATCACATTTTATTCGCCTTTGTCCAACTCAACCTCATCTGCGATACGCTACGAACTACCTATACTGACGTGAAAATTAACTCTCTGTTTTAGAGGCTGATCGCTGAACTCAATAAGGAACAGGAGGCTTTCATCGCCAGTAAGCAAGCAGGCGAAAAGGGTGAGGCTGTTGCACCGTGGGTTGGTGCACCAAATGAGGACGCGCTGCGTGAGGAGTGCCTGTCCCTCTCGACCGTAATTATGTTTCTCATCTTCTTTTTGTCATGCGAACGATAGTTAATATGGATACTTTAGTATTACTCCATCGAGACACAAAAATGTGAATATTTTTTCAAGATTTTAAAACTTTTTTTTACATTTCTATACATTTTGTCAACACACCTTGTTCTTATTTCAAATCAGCGCAAAATTTCAATACAGTAATAATCACTTGCGCATTTCGAGACTCATTGTTTTACATCTGTATTCGCTTATGTGAATTGTAAAAGCTAATCTGCGGATATTTCTCTGAATATGATTACAGAATCTGTATGTTTTGTTATTGGAGAGATCAGAATTTGTTATGGAAATATAATGTTAATAATAATAATTTTTATTTTTATGATTTTTTTTAATTATTCTTTTATAACTTGAAACTGCTGCTAGCAATTAATTAGCTATTTTTATGCATCGTTACAAAGGATCTCGAATTTGGCTTCGGTTAAACCGGCAGAATTAAACGAGGATTCAACCTTCTCATGGATTTCAGGATCGACGTAATTTCGTGAGAGCACCACCACCAGGCGTAGAATTCGCTTGGGATTTCGAAGCCGTTCAGCCAATGGCACAGGCTACCCTTGCCCTGGATCCAAATCTTGAAGCTATGAGGTTCGAGCTTGTCCCGAAAGTGTAAGTAAAATATACCACCTTGTCATAACGATTCATAATGTCGCTCTTCCACTCTATTCGATATCACGAAATTGTCGAAAATAAAATTGGCTTACGTTTTTTAATTATTTTTCTCATTATTTTAAATAACAATTAAAGCTAAATTTATTATAAAACAAGTATACGTTATGTGCGATATATAAAATTAACGATTGAGTTCCTTAATTGACATAAGTCTGCCTTATAAGCCATAACTTGGTAACTAAGGGGCTCAATTATGACGCGTGTTGTAAAAAAAACATGCGCTCGGAAATTCACAATTCTGATCGCGCAACGATATGTAATAAAAAATTAAATAACGTTTATGTTGGTTATTACATTGTCGACAAATGAAAATTATTAAGTTTGTATTAATTATAAAGTTCATTATCAAAATATAATTTCTATCATGAAAATATAATTTATGTTTCATTAATTGACTTGCGAACTCGTTTTCTCAAAATACTGGAGAGAGATCATGTTCAATTAATTTTATACTCTACAAAACATGAAAAAGCTAATTAAATTACGTCATAACATTCGATGAAAATAATGCATTTTATTACCCTCGTAATTTCGTCTACTTTAGCGAAATAGAGAAAAGTCAGAAAAGAATTTTATAGTAGATTGAGAGATAACGAGCAGTCAATAAAAACGTCGATAAAAAGTTAATGCACACTTTGCTCTGTCATTATTACTTGATTTAAACAATTAGTTGATCTCACCGCTTTGAAATTGACTGCGTTTCCCTTTCGAGACCTCTGTACATAAATGTCCAAGGCTAGGGGGGCCATTACCGCGCGAAAGTGCCGTGCAGGAATATGAGTACATTATGTTGATTTAATCGCCTCGACGATTAATCGGTTTGCGACTTCGATGGTTACGAAGAGCGGCATTAATTAGCGTGACTACGAATCCTGATCCCGGAACCTGATTCCTTCGTTAAAACCCCTTTATCGATTTCGAGAACTCATCCGACCTATTTGCGGTAGTATATCCGAGGAGAACTTCTGGCGCAACTACTTCTATCGGGTGTCCTTGCTGCGTCAGGGCTACGAGCTGAACGCGATGGCAAGCCAACAGCAAGCGGAAAGCAACCCCAATCAAACGCTCGCCAGCACCGATAGCATCGATCATACTCAAGGTAATTCGTTTGCTCTGTTTTATTTTCTTTTTTTCCTCTGTTACGTAGAGAGCGGTTTGCATATAGTACGCCGACATTGCGACGCGATTAGGTTCTCCAGGTTTGCTCGAGAGCATCGACGCGCTTCCTGATCTGTCAATATCGATTACGAAGCACGCAGCTTTTTACAAAAACTAAAGGGGACATCCTACGCTCACATATAAATATTAATGAGCTAAAGTCTGATGAAAATTTTATATTTAATCTATACTTTTGAATTAAATTAAAAATAATACTTTTATATGTTACTCGTCATTATTCTCAACATAATATTCGACCAAATTCTTCGGCTGAAATATTATTCATTAAGAGTCGGAAAATTCCAATTGTCTACGCGGCCAGGACTTCCCCTTTGACATCGCGGCACGACGTCTTGCCGAGATAAACTCCGCCGGGTTGAATGATGCAGGATGCAACCTGCGGAAAAGGATAGAGAGATCGGCGGCGTCGCGCTGCATTTACGCCTAATTTGCAATTCCGATTAGCAGCGTCCCACAGTGGACCTTTTTGCATGGTGTGGAGTTTTTGAGACGGTGTGTGTGTCTGTATAGTGGCGTGCGTTTTCTGTGCAAATGTCATGCTGGATGCTGGGGAACGTATTGATCCAAGGGAGAAGCCCGAAATTACCATTTAAAGTTTAATCGGACGAAGATGCCGTTTGACGTCTTCAATATTTAACAAGGTTATCGAATTTGAACGTGAGTTCCACCACTCACAATCAGAGCGCGCGCGGCATTGCACTTTACGTAATCCACGGGAAAGTTAACGTAGCACGAAATCGATATGCTAATATATTGATGCACAGTTGATATCACTTGACGTATCACGATAACATGATATAATATTATACATAATTTCATCATGCGTATAAATTCACGTGAGAATAATTTACGTTGGTGTATTAATTAGTTAATTACTAATAAGTCACGTTCTTTCGTGAAACACTATGAGTGCTTGAATTAATTTCGTTTAACAAAAGGGATTTTGAACGAGACTTCATCCGTTCTATCATGAGGTACACGTAAATGATAGAAGGAATGAGTGCGGAATTTTATTTGAATTACATTTTCCGGACGAAACAATTTAACGTAGAGATCTGTCGACGATCTGTATCAATGCGTTCCCGTTGTGTACATGAGCTTTTGCACGAAACGTGATGTCACATCGGGGAAACAGAGAGAGAGAGAGAGAGAGAGAGAGAGAGAGAGAGAGAAAGGGAGAAAGAAAGAGTAGGAATCGGTCATCTCGTGATGAACCCTTTGACCGTGCCAACAATGGAATTGCGATCGGTGCGGATGAATTAACGGATTGAGGGAAATACGGTGGCCGAGTCGGAAAATCGATCATGAGAAAATAGACTGACGCGTTGAAATATCCCCCGAAGCCAAAGATTATTCCGTGAATAGGGGATTCAGGTTGCTGTGTTACTCTTTCTCTCTTTCTCTTTCACGTTCCATCTCCTCTCCGACCATTGAACCGAAGACTCCTCGTCTCTCCTTTGAGAGTAGAGGAAAGATCCGATTTCGCTCCAGTTCTAGTGTATCACGAGAGAAATTGAATCTAACGGGAAGAAAATGTTTGGAGGATTCAGTAATATTCGGTCGCGAGGAATACGGGGGATGTTCCAAATATTTCTCAGTTGATGAAAGAATGCTATTTTCGCATTCTAAGATTTACGAGGGGCATTTCGTAGTATTCTTAAACGTCCCGGAGACCCTGATATTTAGACCCCGAATAAAGATGACTTTTGTTGCCACATATAAATGTAATATTTCGATATTCCATTCGCTATTTCGTACGAAAAAATTCTATATTATACCTATAGATTTCCGTGGGATAGATCGAAAATAGATTCTTTAGAATCACCCTCGCGTTAACAGCTACACTTTTTGTGTAAATTTAGAACGCGCGTGTGTTTCAGTGATATCTCGCGCTGAAATTAATTAATTGCCATTCTCCGCTTTCACGTTTAGATTAATTAAAGTCCTGTTACTGGAAACTGAGCGCAATCGGCTTCGGACGCCCCCACCGTTCGTTTGCGTGCGAAATCAGGTTCCAGTAGACTTAGAGCGTTAGATACAGATAAACACACGTGCTAATGTACATAATAACACGCATCTTCACGAACACGTATATACATCCGCGCGCACCCCCTACCCATATAGTTTAGCCGTCAGTGTTGTCTTGCGAACAGTTCAAATGACCACTGGCCAGACAACCACCACCGGCGGAGTCACGACAGCGAGCAGTAACAGCGCGCTAGCCGATTCGCCAGGTCACGAGTTCGTATCCGATACCATGAGGGTCTCGGACACAGACCTCGAGGAGGTCCGAGAGGGAATGAAAAAACTGGGGATGCAACCGCCGAAAGGTCAGTCGTCGATCGTTGGTCGTTGTTAACTTACCCGAGTGATCCTCGTATAGCTTTCCTCGTGATAATCTTCGTCGATAAAATGCAAAGATATCACGGTGACAGCAAGAAACGAGAGTGATTCTAGACTTGGTTTGTAAATGGATCGCGGTACTCGCGTGCAGAATAGTTTGACTTTTAAATGAGAATTTTCGAATTTCTATCACGGCAGATTGTATTTGTTAAATTGCTTTGCGTCTAGAATGATTTACATTCAGAGAATCTTTAGATTTCCCCATTTCCTTGGTCTTCATTAGTTACGACCACCAACGAGATTTTGCATAATTATATCATGGAAGTTCTTATTTGCTGGTGATTAACGAACGGTACCAAACAAAATTGAAACCCTAATCGTATTTGTGATAATTAATTTACTATATAATTGCATTTTTATTATCATTTTTGCAAGTCTTTAACTATGTAAAAATTAGATTGAGAAAAGAAGGATCTATACGTATTATGTAGCTCTTACAAGTATAATTCTAGAGTTGGGACCGTTCCAGGTAATTGCGTCTCGCTAAATAGCGAAATTTGTTATCGGCTAAGAAATGCACTTCTTGAAAACTATTTCTTGCCGGAGGTTATGTACCATTCATTGATCTCACCAGCAAAACGGGAACGGGTCACCAAGGTGATCGATGCAAGAGCTCGATCTGTGCCACGACACGGTCCAAGAGTACTCTCCTCGTGAGTATGAAATTAACGCCACCGCGCGAAAAGCCTGACCTTAATTTCTCAATGTATTACACCACCAACCCGAGCTAGTGTCGTTTCTTACGTAGCTTCTCTGTACATCTTCTATACCCCTCTCGACCTTCCTGTCTGTGCTTTCTTTAGGTATTGCTTGTTTCCGAATTCTTAGTGTGCGGCAACGACGTGCCCCTCGTCGTGCGTCATGTCGTTGCCAAATGTTGAACGTCTGTTAAACGTCTCACTTTTTTCTTTTTTCTCTCTCTTACATGGGCCGCTTTGACTAAACGACCGCTTTTCATTCTATTTTGTCAACAGCCTAAAAGAAGAGGAGAGTGCCCCCCAAATGCCATTATCCAAAGCACACCCCTCAGAGATATATACATGCTTCCCACTTTCGAAAACTGACAATTTCAGTTCTTGCGAAACTTCTTCTCGCGTCTCTTTCTCTCTCCCACTCCTATTTCCGTCTCTTTTCTTTCCTTCTCTATTTTTTTCCCCCTCTTTATTGCTCCGTTTCTGTTACGTTCGATCGCGAAGCCACCCCATCCTTGACACGAACGTTTTCACGGGATGAACAGCGCGTGTTCCTTCTTCGCGCTGTTCATCCCGTTTCCGATCGTTGGCAACCCACGCGATTTCGTGCCAGTCGCAAGGATCAGCCCTATTAAATGTAACGTCGCGAATACGAATCGACGAAGTTATAGTGTGCGAAATGTGTGAAACAGCCTCCTCGTATGATTTCGGAACGAAACGAACGCGCGTAAGAAGCAGCAAAGTCTGATTTTAAATTATTACGCGATCAGGTCCGTCATTAGAGAACAAATTTAATTAGCGTGGTAGACCAATTTTCACGTGAAGTAGCGTTTCAGGCTCTCTGTTGTTAGTGACTGTATAGTGACTTTAGAGTACTCGATTTCTATGGAAATCTCTCGAATTTTACTTTCACGTATAGAAGAGGGCTGAAATGTCTCGAACGGACACACTGAGGGCATTTTTATATTTCCAGTTAATGGGCATACCTTCTGATGGCCGGGAAAGCGCAATATATTTTTGCGCGATCATTTTAGATTCACACCATTGGGGAACGCTTAGTTCCGGCGAGACAAGCTTGCAATCAGTGCACGTTCGTCGTAACGCGTGTCGCAGCCAAAGGATAAAGCGAACCGATATAGGGACATACAGCCGGATGCAATACCGCGTGATTATGACGTGGATATATATCGTTATTATATTACTGTGCGAGGTCATTGCACTGATTGTCATTAAACGCTGAATCAGTAATGAGCTCAGACAATTCACGTCGCAATCAGAACGCACTGGCGAGCAGCGTCGGGGACAGGCAAAAATTCTCGACGGAGTAAAAGGAATATTTTTAACGCGAGATCCTCGCAGTTTTAATTTGGAAAATGTGTTAAAAGCGCGATACGTTTTATTTGGAATATTTATGTCGAGCAGAGATGTGTATTTGAAATTTTGCCCAGCCCCAGTCGAAGGTGTACCATATATATACGCCGAGCTTGTCGAGTCGCGAAAATCGAACGCAGCGGAAAAGGAAACGGGGTTAGATCAAACGAAACGTCGAAGCGTTGCGCGCACATACGCGAACGTAATGAATAAAACAAGATGCAAACACAACAATAAAAGGGAGGTTCCGCGAGAGAACGAGAAAAAAACAAGTAACATGCATACACAAATGGCAGCGAGAAGATATTCATGTCTGTATGTTTGGCCGTTTTGCTGTTGCCACTCTCTCTTTCTCTGTATCAATTCCAATTAATCTAGCCTGTTCTCGATTCTCTCCGTGTCTTTGTAAAGCATAAGTAAGCAGCTAAGCAGTAATAAACGAACCGAAGGAGAGAGTATAAAGTAATCGGGGAGTGTAACGCGCAGTTATTGATGAAACGCGAGAGGGATTACGTTGCGCAAAACTGTAAACTGTAACTTAATTATAAGTGTATCTTCGTAAGAGGTTAATTAAATGGGAGACCTAAGGAAAATAAGAGAGAAATATATATGTATAAATATATATATATTATACTATTGCTAAATAAAAATATAAAGACAGCGACGCGATATTTCTTAATCCGAAAACTTTCCCCGTAATCTCTACTTCGCGATGTCAGAAGTTCCGAGAAGAAAATCTGCAGACTCCTGCGCAGAAAGAAATATCGAAGAGATGAAAATTTCAAATTTGTAGGTCGAGAGAGAGAGAGACGACTTCGCCCGAGATCCATCCGGGTTTATCGGTGGAGAGCATTCGGATTTTTATCGCGTCTCTGTAAAATTCGTTGAATGACAATACGTGTTTTACCGGGAAACGAGCTATAATACCGCTGGTGCCCGGCACTCTCGTGGGTGGTGTAGCTATTGTAGTATTTCCTTTCGATACGAAAAAAAAAAAAAAAACGGCCGTCGGGGAGGGGGAGAGGTGCTGTCCGTTTCAAGCGGCACCTGATCGCCGTTCGCTGGGAAACGGGGATAAATTAATTATGCGCGAATTTTTTTCCACGTGGACAGCGAACGATTGGATATAGAACGTAAAATGCGTCCGACGAGCGATTTGTATACGTCTATCGCGGAGATTTATGCGAGAGAGATGCGTTTAGCGCCTGTCGAGGAAAGAAGACGAGATGAAACGCATTTTCGCGATTGGTATAAAACCCCGCCCGCGGCGATGCTGCAAAGTCCTATGAATTATCGAAGTAGCGTTAAGAGTTCTGTTTTTCTGTTAGGAATTATTATATCGCAGGGAACGTCGACATTAACAGTATTACGAAGGTTAGATATAGATTGCAGGATTTTATTTGACACTTGCGTTTGAATTTTGTACATTTATAGGTATTTTATCGCGTAATGAAGTAAGCAAAGTTGATTTTCTTTTCTTTAAGTTGAAGAGATCGTACACTACATTTTATACGTACTGTTTAATTTACCATCCACCATATGCTATACATCGCTTTTTTTCATCTTTACACTTATATATTTTAACATGGATTATCTTGAAGTAAAATAATGAGCGATACAATTACGTTAGAGCATTTATATTTTATTATATTCTATTTTTTTTTTTTTTTAATTTAGGGTATACTGTGTACAATTTTATAGAAACGATTTTTGTAAAAATGCGCACGAAAATATTGGATTATTTACTTCGGTGCAGTCCAATAAAAATTTATGACAATTGAATTATGATTTTTACATCTCGGTGCGCACTTTTTCCTCCGCATGACTTTTCCGCGTCGGGGATATCGATATTATCGCAGTCCGACACATCTAGGTAAGGTTTTGCGTATTTCGTGTGAGGCATTATCAGTATTTCGTGTTATTCCGAGGAAGAAAAACGTCTAGCTAGACGGCCGGCCGTCGCTGTTATCTTCTATATATCATTTATTTTCCTTAGAGACGCGGCTACGTCCAGGTGAGCTTGAGTCTTGGGATTACCCGTGAGCTCGTTTTAGTTGTTGCAGCGTAATACGGGGATAAGACAGGCGATGCGACTGGAAACGTACCGCGCAAGAAGATATTATTTAAGATTAAACATTCTTAAAGGCCGCAATAATTTATTGACGCCTATACTACCACTAGTTTATTCTCGCACGATTTTTAAATGTACGCTCGTAATGTTAGATAATTTCGCGCTTGAACGGCGAATTATTTTAACGCAACGGTGTCCAAACCAGCATTTAGTGCGACTAGAATTAAACAAAAGAAAATGTACGCTATTTGAAATTTTATACAAAATTTTGATAAAATTTTATATAAAATTTTTCACTCGAACTTGCAGGTCGCCAAAATGAAATCCATTTCAGTATTTTTTATTTTGGTTATTTTTTTCACAAAATGATCCTCTCTCTCTCTTTCGGACTAAAATTATACTTAATATTACGTTCGGTTATTTCGGCACGTGCGTGTACAGAGCATTGATTTTACTGTTTTTTATAACTTCATATTTATAGTCCACGACTTTGGACACCGTTGGCTTGAGAATTGAGAGCGCAACGAGGATTATTCTCGCGCGAGAGCGTTACCTACGAATAATCGCATTCCCGAAGCGTTCAAGTCGCGATATCCCGATTAATTACTTTTGTAATTGCGAATCAGTCACTTTTGTAACAAGTATGTTAAGCGGAACGTGATTAACTCTAGCTACTCCTCCCGGCAATTCGCTGTAATTTCCAGAGAGTTATATAGTCGGTGATCGTGTGATAGACGTCGTCGTCGTCGTTGTCGTCCGCGAAATGTAAGCGTAGAAAGAATAAGAAAAAAAATATATGATCGCGATCCACGTTGTTCTTAATTAATAATCGTGTAATATCTCCTCTCTCTATCTTTCTTTCTCACTCTTTCTTTCTCTTTCTGTCTCTTTCTCAGGCTACTAACACATCCTTGTCTTTAACGCGCTTAACGAACCGAACTCAGAGCGAAAGCTTCGAAACACAAATGTCGAAGCCTTTCCCTCTTGCTTCCGTTGCTTTCGTGTTCTCTTACTCCATCCCTTTGATTTCTTCAGTCCTGTAATTTGAGTTTTGCCCCTCCAATCCTGATACTTTTACACTTTAAACACACACACACACACACAAACAGATATACACTTTAAACACATAAAATGATTTCCATGCACAAGAAACTCAGATATTCAGCGCGGAAACACAAACAGATAAAACAGACAGATAAACAAGACCAGAGTGTGGCCCTCTCTGCAAAATAGCTACAACGCTGCTTGTGCCTCTCCGCAGAAGAAGATTGGGAACGTGAATTGGAAGCCGAGCTAAAGGATTACGAGGTTGTAACGGGCAACAATAACGGCGGCAGCGGCCAGGAGAGGAGCGTCGCGACGGCCACGAAAGACATCGCGACCAACGATAATGACTGGGAAAAGCAGATCGACGAGCTGCTCGCCAACGAGGACGACGAGGACCTCAAGTGAGCCGAGGAGATCCTCTTCGTGACCGGATAAGAGGGTCGCTCCACGTTGAAATCCCACGCGAATAGCGAGATCGGCGTGCTGGTTTTTCGCATTGGGACTTTTCTCTCTGATACAGAGAAGCTCGCGAATTTCTTTTGTACATTATTACAGTCTTTCGTTAATCTCCTGATCGCGAGACCCGTGTACAAGAAGGAGAGAAAAAAGTGTGGAAGATCCAGTTTGTCAATCGACTATTTTATTTTCTACGAGATCGAATCGATCGATGGATTGAGGCTTACATTGTGCGTGCGTTAATTTTACGACATCGTAATGCGAATTTTAAGGAGAATCTATTTTATACCTGACTTTGATCCAATCACAGCTTGTTCTATTCATGCTTTCACATGTAAGAAGAAAGACTAACGAAAATTACATAAGAGCGGCTTCAGTTCTTTTTAGATTTCGATTGTACTCTCTTTCGTTCGTTACGTGGAGAACTCATACGCTATTTAAAAACGACAATCTCTCATTGTCGTCCTATATATAGACACGAAAACGTAAAAGTCCAGTCATTGAGATCTAAAGGATTCTTTTCGCGTTCGTCCTGGCTTCTTTAACGTGGAGAAGCTGCGCGAGAGTAGTCGTGTTTTATTTTAGCTCGTCTCGCGACTGTCTCCGCATGAACCCCGATATAAAATAGAATACATGAAACCGCCCTTTCGTAGGGAAAATGTAGTTACAGGGGAGCGTCTCAAAAGAATTCCTCCTTTTATTTCAATCCATCGCCGATCTCCTAAGGGAAAAAAAAAAACCGCGAATAAAGATGACGCGAGATTCTTTGAGGCTCGTTTCGTCCTCGAGAGGCGTGTATCGGGATAAAATGTAAAGGTATGAACCGGAAGCCGCAAGAAATATTTCCGACACACGGGAAATCACTGCTGTAACGACAAATGTGAGGATCGTGGCTATACAAAGGATATAAAGCGAGAATGATGCAAAAAGGAGAGTCTGCCCATCGTTTTCCTTTCGTTTCTTTTCTAATTTCTCGAAAAGAAAAGCAGCTTCTTTACGATCCTCGAACACGATGAACACGATGGTCCTTTCTCCTCCACCACCGCCGTTTTACAGCTCGATGGTGAAGCAGAAAGACTCACGTATTCGTACGATTTTCATCAAAGATATATATATATATATTCGTATGAATCTTTGTACTTCTACCTCCGAACTACAAAATGACATGCGATTGTTGTAACTCTAGAGAGAGAAATATTGGAGAACATATGAATTAATTAACACAAGCTTATGTCAATTATCGGGCGCTCTTGTCCGAGAACGTAATGTTGATCGTAATAATAAATATCTTCAAAGTTATGTGATATTAAAGTAAAGTTAATTTGATCGACGGAGATAACACGGTTGTTAGTAGACGAACGCTCTTCATCGTGATCGAAGGATCGACAGTTTTTCAAGATAAATTACACTGCCGTGTGCCGAAGGACACCGTTTCGAGTGGCGGATCGACGATTACGGTGGTCGGTGGTGCATTATTTGCGAGTCCAGGTCGTCCTACAAAATTAACGGTCCTTGAATAATTATGATATGAAAAAATTGTTTCGTAATTTTTAAATGTGTACTAAAAAGATCCCACCTCACAAGTAAGACGCTTCGAAACGTAAATGCGCCGCTGGTCGTCATCTTTTCTTTACAAGCCGAACACTTTGTCGCAACGGCGCGCTTTTCATTGTTGATTGCCAGCCAATTATTGCCGATCGAAAACAATCTACGAAAAACGTGTCTAAAGCAAAGATTGATTCGACTTTTATCTGCAAACTTATTGTGACTGCGCGGAATGTCCTACAACTGGGAAAGCGGAAAGGCACTAGGTTTAGCACAATGTCTTTTGTTCGACATGTACGCTTCTGGCGAAATCTGTAGATAAGATACCAAGATTGTTGTCGGCGACGATATGACAACAACGATGACGATATTGAAAGGAGAATGTGTCGTTTTTAAATTCGTTCTTGTCGATCGTGGAAGTGTTTCGTTATGCGTTGTTTGTATTGTGTCAAAGTGAATTATACGCTGTAAGAATGACATGTTCGCGTTGTCTGTACGGACGAAATATCGTAATAATAAATCATTGCATTGACAGAAACTCCAAATGGAGCATATATTGCGCTGTTTCATTTGTAAAGGCTCGAAGCATAAAGATTGTCATAATTGTTTCCAGCAGAGTCTAAGTCAACGCACAAGGATTCATGTAAACGTATATGCCGTTATATAATTCTGAAAACAAGCAATTATAAATATACAAACATACGTTAGTTTACAACTCTGTCCAAGACAGTTACGACAATCTTTGAACTCAAGCCCCATCTTGTAAAGCACACCGGCGGGAATAAAGTTTTCAGTTTCGATTGCATCGGAAGTCGCGCGGCGCAATATTTTATTGTTCTCGGTCCGACATACCGTCCAATTGTCCTCTGCCAACGGAAGAAATGGGAAGAAACGGTCGACTTTCAAAGAGAGATACTTGCGACAATAAAATCTCGCGTTACGCGAAATTGCAATTTATCAAAAATATTATCCATACAGAAAATAGCCATCCTCGCGTAAATTAAAAAGGATACGACGAGTTTTATCGGGGATATCTTCTCCGTGCAGACAAACAGGTCTAGCTCAGACCTTGAGAAGAATCTGTCGCGTTCGCACGTTAATATAACATCAAGTAATGCTATAACGAGGATTATTATCGTAACGCCAATGGCACGAATGTACGTAATAAAAGGCAGAGCATGAGAAAAGGTGAACAAATCGTCGGATCGAAGCGAACAAGTGAAGGCAACTGGATTTATAATGGGGAGAAGAGAACATGGACCCACGAGTTTAATTATTATTCTTATACGGTTTTATTACTTACGTCTAATTTTACCTATAATAAATCTTGGCGGATGAATTCTGTTGAATAAATTATCGTCGTATACTTTTGTCACGTATTTACGATAAATGCGGATTGTCTGACTAGTGATTTTTTCACAGAAATGTGAATTGAGTCGCGTTACGTCTATCTAAGTGTATACTAAAAATATAAAAATATTTGCACTTCACAATCGCGGAAAGTAACGGTAAGAAATGAAGTGTTTAACACAGAAGTAAATCTTTACGCATTAGATTCTTATTTTGTAAGTCTTTCAAAAGGTCCGCGTCTCCCACTATAAATCTCGTTCAAGGAATAATAAATTGGGTATAATCAATAAGCAAGTTTGCGTTGAGATGTTTGTTTTGCGCCATTGCACGTCAAATCCAGGTTTTCAGTCAATTTATATATACCTTGACTTTTTCTATCCCTCCTTTCAAGTAGTCATCCCCGGGATGAATGGAGTACCGCGGTAATGCGATAAGATCGTTTCTCCAGAAACCGCACGGCGAGCGGCTTATATACGATATGTATTATTATATCAATACTTCTCTCACAACTCGAGAAAAAGTCCGCTCGCGTTCGGCTGTGACCGCGCGAGCCATTTGAAAAAAACAAAACGCTGCTTCATCCGCGTTCATCTTTTCCTAAAAAAAGAAGCTCGTTGTAAAGTTACCATTCGTGTTTTTAGTCGATAGGCTCGTAAGATTTACTTAAGGAGGCGCAATTCACCCAGGCCTAAGTCTGTCGAAGTAAAGCAAAGGCGATAATCGCATTTATCCGCTCTCTTTATTATTATGCGCGGGTTCTCGAGAGAGGACCTCCAAGGGAGGACCTCCGTTCCCCTTCCTTCCAAATCCTTCGACTGTACAAATATCGCGAGAAAAAGAATTTCCCGTCTCGTTTTCTCTCTCCCACACACCGGCCGAAGTGATTTAAAAAAAAAGGGAAAAAAACCGCGAAATTTATATGACATTAAATTTTCCACGCGCAGAAACATCGTCCTATCTTCCGCGAAAGCGACAGGAGATAAACGCGATGGCCAGAAATCAAGGTGTACTTCGGCAGAATAATAAAGTGAACTCTGTGAATTAATTGTGTAATAAAGCTATCCTACGGTACTGTGCATTCACACTGATAAAAAAGAAAATGAACATACACTCGATACTTATATATACATATATGTATACATGTATACATATGGATAAATATATATATATGTATATATTTGTCACACTTGCGCGATAAATATATACATATATATATATATATGTGTTGTTGAGACTATTGAAAGTATGATAATATATTATGAATATTATAATGAGAATATAATGACGCAAGCATTAAGGTAAAACTATTAAAAAAATTATTAATGTAATTGGGAGAATGTAACAATAAAAAAGTCGTAAGAAATAAAATAAAATAAAATATTACCTCTTATAAGCTAATGTTTCTTCTACCTTATGCACGCCGTTTTTCAAATCAAATCACCTAATTACAATATTAAATCAGTGCAAAAGTTCGTACCTGATTTATCATTCAAATAATAGATCGGGCATGAACTTTTGCACTGATCTAATATTTTAAATAAAGATTTTTACGGAAAAGTATTATAAAAATTTCATTTTATAATACTCATATCAAATCGTTTACATATAAATGTAGATATAAACATAATATAATTCAATATATCTTATTATATATATATATATATTAAAATAAATTTTTATTATATACGTATCATTTGTATCAATATTTACAGATCTCAAAAAATTTATGTACATTACTTGACATTTCAATCTCATATGTTCCACTTGAGTTAGAATTCATGCTTATTTTCATGAGATTATTATTATTGTTATCGCTGACTACCCCAAGTATAACATTTACCAGTATTTGATTTAACAAAAAAAGTCGCTGCATAATCATTGATCGAAATTACTTGGTCGAGTAGAGGATGGAAGCTACTGAGTTGGCATTATGAAGAAAATCAAATACCGCTATAATCAGTCAAGCTTAATAGAGCAAGCTTTCAAATTTACGAAACATCATGTTCCAAGTATAAAAGCGTTGACATACTTAGCCCTTTGAGTATCGTGAGCGCATATACGTGCAACTTTTCTAATTTATTATAATATTTAATTTTTATAATTTATTATAAAATATTAGTAATAATGCATCAATAAATAATTTATGTACAAATAAATTTATATAAATATATATAAATAAATAATATTATAAGTTTTTAAAATAAATATTTTAATATATCGAACTCTTTGTGTGTCATGCGATTTCTTGATATTTAAGTTCAATGCGAAAAAATACCGTGTTCGTTATCACCAGTTGAGTTCCGGCCACACTAGACACTGTTCAAAGGGTTAAGGATATGCTTAAACACATAAGATAATGTTTCCACGATTAATTTTTGTCATACAAAGGATTTACTTCATCAGCCTGTTAATTTCGTGGCGAGTATTTCGAGTTATAGATTAAAGTACGTATAACAACATCATCTCTTTTAACGTAACTCATTGTACACTCAATGTACTTAAACTATAACTTTCCCGTTCGTTCATTTACGTTATAGAGGGAGCATTTAAATTATCTTATATATTACGTCTTTTTGAGTTGATTTAAATATGTTCCGGGCTCTTAGAAACAAATTATAACGCTAGCGAGTTTTGTAATTGATAACGTACTCGTACCGTCAAGATTCATGTCTTAAAATCACTTTTAAATCATCCGGTAATACATGCGTAATGTCATTTATTCTCTCTCGCAGTTTCTCTCTTACCGAATTATTGATTGGTACGTCTTCAATGCAACTTTTCTCCAACTTCTGGCGAATTCTAAGGATCATATCGACCACTTCCACCTCTTGCTTTCCTTGCACCCACGTTTTTAAATCCTGTCCATAATTATTATATTGATAAGAACTCATAATGCAATTATGCAAAAATGTAAAAGAAAAAAATTAATATCCATACCGCCTGTGATAATTTCTCTAACTGTTTAACTTGCAACTGTTGACTCAACTCCATATATCTTGTATGAAACCATCCGGAGAAATTCGGTGATCGAAAGAATCGTTTATAGAGTCCTACCCAATCGCCTTTTATACCTGTAGTTAACTGAGGACCGGAGCTACTTAAACTAGCTAGGAAGTCATCTGGATTGAACATTTGTGGTGAAGGAGTTGCCTGAAAAAAGTCCATTGTCATCCATTATATAAACTGAGTCTAGCAATTGCTAGTAATTCATTTATACCTTAAAAGGTGATATGTTCTTTTGCAACGGCATAAGGGTCGCGATGTATCTCTCAAGCGGAATCATAAAGCTTTCCGTGAGTTCTATCAGATGACGTTTCAAGAGCGCGGTTTGCACTTCGCCCGGCCGTTTTGTTTGAATACCCCTGAACAATTTCTTCAATATAGTTTTGTCTTTCTGCAGGAAAGATTTGTACTGAGTGTAAACGCCAGGCTTCGAGTCCAACACCTTCAGATTTTCAGATCTCTTGATTTTATATTTCTGATCTTCTGAAATATCAAATCTTGAACACTTGATCGCTAATCATTAAGCACCACAAAACTTACCGCTATTGTTGCCGTTGCTTATCCGGATGATATGCGGCCAGTGCTGCAGCGTCTTTGCGAAGAATGGATTCGTCACGCCCAGAATCACAGCAGGCGGCGCCGGAGAATCGGTGGTGTACTCCTTGAATTCCGAATCGTGAATAGTGAAATACGGTCGATGATCCGCACAATACTTCAATGGCGCGATCATGCTGGAGAACCGTTTTCCGGTTATATAGATGTTTAATAAGTCTTAAATATTTTGATCTGATACTTACGCTACAAGTGCTTGAACCATCTCGGAGCATGTAGTCGGTGAACTAGCCATCACAACAATTGGTTCACTAAGAAGCACTAATTCCCATAATAAATGCACATAACTAACAACACTGGCTAAACTTCGAAACATGTCGCCCTCATAAGCTGATGTCAGGATCAATCTTCGTGTTGCGTGCACGTTGGTTGTATGCTCCATGGCAGCAATCGTTGGAACAGTGGCTTTGTAATTTTGATTTGGAATATACGTCTAAAATAATCATATCCTTTTAATACACAAATGGAACATTATTTGTACAAGATCAATTATAAATGTTTTTAAAATTTCATGAATGCGTTACATAAAAAGGAAAAACAAATATTTTTATAAATTAGATCATGAATACTTTGTCATCGAAGTGGACACATAATAAATTTAAATAATAATTGAGTCAGGCATGTATGAAAAATGATAGAAGACATTTTGAACATTTTTGTAAACAAAAAAATATCCATCTGAAACTTTTAAACAAAGTCATTATTTATTGGTACTATTGCATTTGTGTCCATTATTTCAACAACGAAGCATTTGCAACCTAATAAGTTTATACAACTTTTTCATCTATTTACCTGAAATAATACTCCGATAAGAGGTAAATGAACTATTTGACCTGGAACTGGAGGAGGCCAGTGATCAATCTCGCGCACCACAGCTTCCATTAGCGCTATTCCAGCCTCAAAAAATTCCGGTGCGATCAAAGCACATAATTCACCGAATAGATTGACAAATGGCAGTTTTGTAATTATAACAACACTCTGGAAGCATGTTATATAATTACAAATTAAATAAATTATCATCCAAATTTATCAAATTTATGTTGACACACCTTTTGAAAATATCCTCTTGGCAACGATTTATCCTTCACTTGTCGGAAATATACGTATCCCCAGTAATAATCTCTATCAGTTTGTAGAAAAGTAGGTGATTTCCTGTCATATTCCTTGAGAGCATTAGTTTCTTGCATCGTTTTACTACTTTGTCTTATTCTTACATGATACTGAGTATCTCCCATACATCCAGAATTGGAATCGGGAAAGGCTAAGTAACAAACATTAGATCTCTCTTGTTCCGATAATTTAACATGATTTGGATAAATCGCCTGTCAGACATAAAAAAAAAAAAAGAAATATTCATGAAATAAGATTACCAAAAGCATTTCATTTTATTTTGACAACTAAATATTAAACTAATTCTGTAAATGTATGGGGGATCACACCTCTATAGCTTGACCTAACTCAAGATCGAAAGTAACAATGCATATACAATGCACCCAATTAGTAAAACGTTCCCATTTTCCGTATACTACTTCTTCCTTAGTAGTTTCCAGTCCTTTACTTGTTGAGCAGGAAGGAACTGACATTGTTCTCTCTTCTACTTATCCTACTAATCTAATTACTTGTCTTATATGTTACTACATGTGTCATTCATCATTGTACAACATGATTATCTTCAACTGCATGACACTTGTAATGGCACTTGACTAACAATTATGTCATATTATAATCAATCACTTGAAGATTCTGAATTATCTGAAATATAAAAGCCATCTCAATATTGTAAAAATCTTAAATAAATCTTTGACAATATTGACTTACCACTATAAATATATTTGCACATTACTCAATATATGCATTAACTATATAAATCTTTTTTAATTGAACTAACTCTCAAACATCCTCTACGGTTAGTCTTGAAATTATATACCCTGTTTGGCAATATTTAAAGAAAATTTAATTTGTATATATATCCTATACTCCAGGAGTTGAATCGAACCTTCAGTTTAAGGAGGCCGAGTCAAAGGCTGGTCCAGGCAAGAGTAGGCACACTTAACACCAAGCGAAGAGTGCATTTGCTCGTATCAATGTACTCTCCGACATGCACATGTTAAAACCTCCATACGTTTTCCGTTTCTTGACAACAATCTATCTACCAAACAATACACTAGTCCAGCTCGCAGTATAATTAACGCAAGGGTGATTAAATCGTCCCAGTGAGACAGCTGTATACCTTGACATTCACACGCGACACTCACCCTTGCCTGGTCCAAGAGAGTCTTCATAGCGTTTGGCTATCCAGCAATCAGGTTTATAATCTTCCGTGTGACAATCCCAAGGATCAAAGAATCAACTTCATACCCGTTATTAGCACTTGCTTAAAGTAAGTAGTTGGACAAATCCTTCTTGAAGGGCTACTTTATTGACTTTATTCCTTTGCGATAAATTACTATTAAATACCATCTCACATTTAACTTTAGTGCAACGCACCCTAGGCTCTAGACTTTTGCCTAGGCGGCCTAGGCCTCGAATTGCCGCTAACTTGCCTCCGAAGCAGTGCAGGAACTCCAGGGTGCCCACGAACTGAATTATAAACTTTCCCCCTACTTTTGTAGATGGCGTTGCTGTACGCAACTGTAATTACACTATATATATATGTGTGTGTGTGTGTGTGTGTGTGTGTGGGTGCATTGTATACCGTGTTCATGACACATCATGGACAGCACTATCTCACAATTATTAGGTATAATTCCTGAAAAATAATTTGTACGTGCGATAATCACAGAATCCATTAATTTCTCTCTGCTACAAACTTGCGGAAAGTAATATATTTGTATAAATTATTGTGGAAAGCACTAATTTTATAACCTTACATATGTGATTGACTTGATTGCGAGATTGATGAGCACGTGTTACATGGAAGAATGTGATGTATGCAAGGTATATCATTAGTAAGTATTTCTTTTAAAATTATATAATAACTTGGACACATTACATTAATTATTGTATATTTATTTCAAATATGTAGAAACTAACATTTATTTTTATATAATTTAACATATTAAATATATAACATATGTATGTATAGTTATAGATGATAATAATACAGAATCATATTTTACATTGCATTTCCAGAACTATGGAATGTGTTACTATTCCATAATAATGTGGTTCTATTGCTGAGATGAAATTATGGAGCTTATAACGTTAGAGCTAAGACCACGCTTGCAATCTTGCAATGTATTTATTTCTATGTGGAAAGATTTCTGCTCAAAAAATGTTCGCATTAAACTCTTGGAGAGTACCATAGTATTAATAGTAGAAGATTGTAATATAAGCTTCTCGTTGCCGTCTGTAAAAATTATACCCACTTCCTTGTCCATGTTAAATATAATGAACAATTGGGTTTGCTTCCGCCTACAAACTGCACCATTGGAGTCTGCATTTGGATCTTTCAATACAGAAGTGATAACTAATTCGAATAAATCAACTCAACTGAATATTTATTCGCCTATTTTAAACGATATCAAATTGTTATTTGAAACGTCAAAATGTACTATACTATGCACCTGTTGCAAAAATGTTATCTCAAAGTTGATTAGTTTTAAGAGATTTCTCCCTTTACCTGATACAGAATATGATCCTGACGAATGGTTTTGTTGTAAACATAGTTGCAATGCCATTTCAAATAGTGTGCAGCCACAGGAATCTGATTACTTATATGGCTCTTGCTTTTCTGTATTACATAAAAGTATTTTTACAAGCAATGGGTGTATAGATAATAAAACGTTGTTTTGTAATAAATGTTTGTTACACATAGGAACATTTCATACATATAATTTATTCAAAATATGGAATTGTTGCGTAGATTATAAACCAGAGAATAGTACATTGTCTATTATGAATGCTACTAATCCACTCAGTGATTTTCTGATATTAGTAAAAAACTCACTAGGTGAGATTTTAGGTGAAGAAATTATTCTGCAAACATCTGTCGGCAAACAGACGCATCGTCTTTTGATAAAGCCAATGGATTGCAAATTAAATTTAATTACAGAGCCTGATCACTTTACAGTCTGTGATACTGACATTGTATCCTTGCAACAAAAATATGCTGCTAAAGTTTTATACAAATACGAGAAAGATAAAGAGTTTACTGTAATCACTAATTATTTGAATGTTAAATATCATGATGTAAGTTTGCCTTTAATACAAGCTGGATTAAATTATTTATTATCATCAACGAAACGACTACCTCATGTTTATAGAACTGCTGCTATAGACTATTTTCTTGGTTATATTATCTTACAAGAAATCGTGGATTAAATATCGTAATTTATTGTCTAACGATATTAATTTTTAAACATTGCATATATTTTGTACATCTATTTTTATACACAATAAAAAGAAATAATTGTCTATTATATATATTCCTCATATAACCCATTAAAAAAACACAAATTCATGAATTTTTAAATATATCGAAAAGGTTTAAGGATATATTCAATTTCTCTGTTTCTAGAAGATATGATAAAAAAAATATCTATTTTATTAAAAGAAAATTATTGAAACACTTTTGCCCGAGTATTATGTTATTTATGAAGTAAGTATATGAGAAAACTATGGCAACTACGAGTAAGAATAAAGTATTAAGTATCATTGTGATATTTTGTTTTATGCATAAAAAATGCATAAATTTATTTTTGAAGTCCGTAATTTTGGAATGTCAGTCATTCCTTACATGTTGGAAATCTATATTTGCCAATGACAAATCCGAGGTTGCGCAAAAATAATTCTATAATTAGAATATTGTATTATTTACGTCCACTAGTGACATCGTAAAACTTTTGTATACAATATGGCATGCAATCTATACAATATGAAGTATACAGGTTTGCGTAAATTGTACATATAATTTCTTCTCTCATAAGAAATTACAAGTGTGTCAATAAATGTTACATATATAAAAGACTCCACAAATACGTACACATATTTGAAACGTGGATATAAATTGAAATTTATGATATCTATGCGAAATTACTCCAAGGATAAAAAAAAAAAGAAGATACAATTATATATCATAAAAATTCGTATTCTATTATTGACAAAACGCTTTTACTAAACGAAACTTAAAATAAGAAGCGAAAAGTAAGATAGTGGGTAATATTGCGTTATCTCTTTCCTATATTAAACTAAAAGTGGCTAATATGCATAAAAATATTGCCGAAATCGCTTGAATGTGAAAGTGTATGTCTGAATTAAGCCTGATATTACAATTCTTACAGGCAGTAGGCCACAATTTTTCTTCTAGTATTGTGCTGCATCTAAAATTGTCACGTAATATGCATGTATACATAGTTAGGTAACATTCGATTGATCGTTAGAACTATGTATTCTGTCTATAAGAGGTTTTATATACATCCAACCACCATCTTTGGTTTCCTTAAAAAGCTGTTCAACAAAAAAAAATTGGTTAACAATGATTAACAATAATGCGATAGATGAATGGAAAGCATCAAAGAAAAATCGTCCGCTTACTTTCGTTTGCCACGCTACGTTATTCTCCTTTCGAAACCGCGCTTCTTCTCGTTGTTTCTGTTCGATTGTGCATTTTGCCGCTGTAGCTTTATCCATATCATTGATACGTAGGCCAACTGTCACGTCACGCCAAACTTGTCGCGATTCACATTCATCTTGCTCACATACTGTTTTAACTAATTTTCTTTCCGTGCTAAGTTCTCTCACGTCAGCGAACATTTCACTTTTCTGTTTAAAAAAAAGAATATTTTATCACAAATATTAAAAATGTAAATATATTAGACCGAGAATTATTAAGAATTGATCAAACAAGAGAACGAATGCTATTTTTTCTTTATTGCAAAGCAATATTTAATAATATTCAATTGTCAGTAGGACTGGAGGCATGTACTTGAAATATTTTTATTTAAAATAATATTTGTAATACAAAGGTATTTTGTATTTAAAGTTGAAAGATTGAGTTCTTTTCGTATCTTATCAATAAGATTAATATTTGATAACATGAAATAATAATCCCAGTATTTGAAATACAACATACAATTTAAATAAAAGTATTTCAAATACATACCCTCAGCCCTGTCATATGTAAATTTGCAAATACACTTTGACATATTGTTTTAATAATAATTAGATTTGCATCCATGAATTATATAATATATACTAATATTCGTTATTCACAGGAGCTTACTATGTAGAACGTGCAAATAGCCTAACCGTCTTATACTGCAGCATTTAACTACGAATTGATATTACATTGAAATTCTAATGTTGTAACTTACACCATCCAATGTCTTCACTTCCATTGCTCCACTCCATTCTCCATTTATAACAAGAAACGGTTTTTTATCTCCCGCTTGGAAGGCTTGACACGTAATCCGATTCCGTTTACCGCCGTAAAAAGGTTTCGTTAAAAATTCTACCGTCGCGTGATAACCAGTTTGTACGCAATTTATTGTTACAGTTCCTCCTAGTTCTATCCATGGTACAGTGAGAATAGATCTGCCATAACCGTTAGGGAAAGTTAAAACGTACTCCTCCCCATATTGTAACACATTTACCCAACCCTTTCCCACGTTATGCACTCCTATACTTAAACCCAAGAATTTGCTCTTCGTCCAAACATGAGCTCCGAAACTGATCTTTTTTCCGACATGCTCGGCATAAAATGCACTAACTGCAAATAATATAACAAATAGACGAGTTATTTTGTATGATACGGACAGTTTGATAAAACGCTGAATTAAAAAAGAATTCCTATACCTGGTGGATGATGAGAAACTTGTTCAGCCACAAAAGCAAGTTGATTCTCCCTGCACCATGGTACAGGACCATCCGATACTAGTTTACTACCAGAATCTATAGCGTTATCAAAAGAATTAATGTTAGGTATGTTCCAATGACACCGAAAAATTTCACCTAATACAGGATTGTATGGCTTCTTAGCTACGCCAGATTTACGCCCTGCATGAAAACTGCACAAGTACCAACGAATTACTTGTACCATCCTCTCTCGAGGTGTAGGCATATCTGCAATGCTAATTCAAGAAAATGGAATTATTTTCAAAAACTTATTATAAAACATTAAAACGGATACAACATTAGGTCTGTTCTCTTTAACTAAACTTCCTGCCTAGTTTATCTTTTCTCTTTTTTTTCTCCAACGTGAAAAGAAGAATTAAAAAAGATAAATCTTCCGAAAGGTTCAACAGACCTATTATGTATGTAGATATTACAGTTTTATTTTTTTAATTTGATAATTAAAACTACCTCACAAATTGATCGGGATGAGCAAAGTAATCTGCATACATCTCAAGGAGTGACCTGCGCTCTAAAATGAACGTTGGTAAAGCAACTCTCGTCAAGTCCATGCCGATCTTCACCTGGGACAGAAGATGAGCCACGACTGAGCCATGACTTTCCATGGAATCCACTGTAAATGATAAAAGTAAAGAAAGAAATGTCAATAAACATTACTACTTTCTGTAACGCTGTGTATACTTGATGTGATATATTACATACTTTCTGTTTCGCTTTCTTCTTCGTAGAGAGCTGCAACAGATATAAATTTACAGTTTAAAGTATGAAAAATATTTACAAGAAACCTAAAATCTCTGGATACCAATTTTTTAAAACGTATAGGTGTCCGTAATAACAGCATACAGAAAAAATGCTCAAAGATTGCAAAATCTTAACCTGAATTTTCTACCGCATATCTATTGCACACGAAACTTACGACTTGAAGTTATGTCCAACATATTGTCTGGCTAAGTTAAACCAACTAGTATCCATTCCTGAGCTCCTTATTCCCACAAAAATTATGTTTTATTAACGTAAAGTACTTTGTTGGACAGTTTGATTCAGAGATAAACAGCAGAACATAAAGTTCAACCACAATTCTCCCTTCTTACACATCATCGTATCAATGAAACATTCTGTCTTTTTCTACTTATTTATCACTTTAAAAGAGACACGGGAACTCCGCGAATGTTTGCTCGCGAAACGTCAACTTATAAGTACGTCAGACAGTTCGGTTCACGATCGCAGCAATCAATAATAGTCGCGGTAGATAAAACAGGTGGATAAACCAAATACAACCTGCATTATCAACAATAGAATATATGTCATAAAGTCGACCAGATGACTAATAAATTTTGTTCTCAATTTATTTTGCAAATACAAATGCATGAGTGTCGCGAATTTAACTAACTATTTTGCGTTTATTGTTATAGTGATTATCATGTCGAATTTGTGTAGAATAAGCGAATTGGATTTGTATGTAGAACGCTACCTCTAGTCAAGCGACGCCAACAGCGCACGCCGCGAAAAAGGAAAGAAAGGCGGCACGAACAAATGCCGGCATTGTAGCAAAAAGCATTATTACATCTAGTACGGCCGCAGAATCATCAGAGAACGACGATCAACGAAGACAGATCAACATATCACCTGTGCGAACCAGACAGGAAACCAAGATCATGGAGACAGATCCCTGTCCAGGAGCTTCGGGAAGACACAATTCCGTTTCCCAAAAGAAGACTTGAGTGGTTTGAGCGGATTCTTGAGTTGGTAGATATAGCACCACTCCGCAGAGCATTCTTGATGATACGCAATCGAACAGAAGCCAGCATTATTCATCCCACAAAAGCCTTTCTTTTAAAGGATGTGGTAGGGATCAAAGCAGTGGACACGATTGTATCTGCTCCTCATATCAAGAAAGGCCCACCATGATAAAAACAAAGACCATAACTCTTTCTGTTGAGGAGGAGGGCAGGCTCAGGAATGTAGAGAACGATGTGATCAGATAGTGGCCTTCTACGCTATGTCAGGTGTGATGACTTTGGCCAAGCAGATTACAGGGATAAATGATCAATACCTTAAGTTGCGATGAAAGGCTATGTGTGCCAAACTGAAAATCAACGACGTTTTTGCATCGGGATTTGTCTCTACCGATAATTACAATAAGATTATAGAGAGAACATCATATATTGGCAAGAGTGAGTAAGGGCACGAACCCCTTTGCGTCACACCATTACTGAATATGGCTTTAAAGGATAGATCAGACAACAGGGATCACAAATCAAATCAAAATGGTCTTATCGGGGTACGGTCTTACAGATGGAGGCTTTTACTGTATCCGGAAGTAAGGCGCTGTTACTGGACTCTATACTTTATCAGGCCGTGACTTTGAAGAAGGCCATTATTAAACTGCAAGAAAAATATGGGGCAAAGTATCCCTATATAAAGGTATTTCCTTTGCCGGGTGCCGAGCAACTCTATCCAGATTTATACTA